ACATCCACCAACGAGGCAGACGGGATAGTAACTCTGACTAGGGCCCCCAGCACTGCATTGGAGTGTCAGTCTAGACTGCACTCAAGAAGGCCCGTACTGTCAAACCTGTCTACCTGACCTGAATATCTCCCATCATTAAAAAATTGACCAGTTTTCCTGTTATCTCATTCAAATAGAGAAATCCAGGGGGACATTTAGCTCTTGGTCTGGAGGAGGCAGAAATAGAAGAACCAGGAGGAACTGCAAAGAGATTGCATTTCCTGAGACAAGTGAAAATAAGAAAAATTTCAGCAAAAAGAAATAAGACTTGAGGAGCACCCAATCCATGAGGCAGACAGGATAAAGTAGATCTACTTTTTGCGTCCAATTCACTGACTTCCTAGTAAAGCAATATACTTGAGTGAATGAATGTAAGGTCACAGAGATTGAATTAATTTAAAAGAAAAGAATATCATAACTCCTGTAACAATGATTGCCCAGCAACAACACTCCTCACTTTGATATCACAAAATTCATCAAAAAATGGGCTTGAAAAATATTTTTATATATTATAAACTATATATAAAAAAATCTCTACTAATTACATTGATGCTATCAAAATAGTTTTGCATTTTTACTTCATAAATCCTAACTGAATGTCATAGAACCGTAGATCAACATTGTTTCTAAATAAATTGTTTCTAAAAGAATTATTTCTAACTGTGTCCCAGTGTCCAATATTGTAATACATGGAAAATAAAGTTACACACAAGTAATCTGTTAATATTCTTTGCCAGTTTTATCTATTTCCCTCTTTTTCTCTCCTGAAGATATTTAATTTAGTTCCATAACTCCTGAATGCTCTCTGGTACAATGCCCAAGTGATAATTAGTTATATTTGAGTCTTCACAGAGAGTTCCAGCAGAATGATGTTCTCACTCAAATTGTCCACAAACACACACACCTCCAGGAATTAATACATATCAATATTAATGACCTCAAGTTGGATATAGGGTGAAGTTTTTGGATAATATGACGCTAAGAAGTATAGCGAATGGTGAGGAGGTTTGCAAGAGACTGCAGGAGCATTTAAATAGATTAGCGCAATGAACAAATCAGTGGCAGATGAAGTTTAATGAAGAGAAATGTAAGGTACTCATGTTGAAGAAAAAGAGTGGAGTATATATTGAATGGCAGTATTTTACAGAGGAGCAAAGGGACATAGGAGTGCAGATACATAAGTACTTGAAAGTGGTAGCTCAAGCGGAAAGGGCTTTGAAAAATCTAAGATAGTCACAAGAAGAGTGATCAAAAAACTTAGGAGAATTTTTTTTCGCACAGAGTTGTTGGGGTGTGGAATGTCCTGCCACCAATGCACAGAGTGCATTGTATGTTTCAAGAGGAAAGTATATGAAAGATACAATTCAATACAAGTTTACATTTATATAACGCCTTTCATGTCGGGAGGAAGCCCCAAAGCGCTTGACACTGCTGGCTGGACACCTGAGCTGGGATGAAAACCGAGTGGGGTGGGGAGCAGAAAGATGACTGAAATTGCAGCAAAAATGTATGTCCTGAGATGGACCCTGAACGAGTGAGGGAGGGAGCAAATTGAAGGGACTTTGTGATGAAGCTCCAGAGAGCGGGGACAGAATAGTCTGAAAGCCTGTCTGCTGATGGTGGAGTTGATAAGCCAAGGGACATGAAGTAGGTGAAGCTGAGTGAAGGGAGCATCTAGGCAGTAGGCTGCCAAAGTATGGTGGGTCGAGAACATGGAAGGATTTAAAGGTCAGAATGATGATCTTAAACTTGATCCACTAGGGAATGAGGAGCCAATGGAGCTGAGCGAGGATGAGGGTGATAGACTCGCAGAATGTTGTGCAGGAGACAACAATGGTGTAGAGCTCTGGATAGTTTGCAGCTTGTCTAGTGCATTGACAAGAGCTAGAGCATTGATACAGACAAGCCTGGACGTTAGAAAGGAATGGATGGATGATGGTCTTGGTGGGCCAAGGGGAGAGGTAGCAGCAGAGGTGCATAATGTTTGGGACATGAGGAAAAGCTGAGCAGGTAAGAGCATGGATGAAAGACAGTTGGGATTCAAGCAAGACACCAAGGTTCTGCACCTGACCCATAAGGTGGAGTCTGTACCTATGGAGCTTGATGCTATCAGTGCCTGAGGTGAGAAAGTGCTGACTGGAGCCTGGTCGGTGAGCCTCTGTCTTATCAACAAGATAGAAGCTTGAAGGCGTTTGGGGGATAGGCCTGGGCAGCAGGAATTAATGAACAGCTTGCTCTGACAGCGGGAGCAGACCTTGTGGGCTAAATGGCCTCCCTCTGCACTGTAAATCTCTGATTCTAATTAGAAATAGGAAATGATTTCACCTCCCAGCTGTCATCAGTTAAATCAGCACAAATTGAATATGGGACTTTCCAGGTCTGTATGGATCAGGTACTAGCTTGATAAGCTTGCTGCCATCCAACTTATACTCTTGCATGAACCTTTCCACCACAATTTCCTAAGACGTAAAAGTAAGAAACATTTTTCATAAGAGGAACGATGGAGCTCCCAATTCACAAGCCAAACAAGATGAAGCAATGCATCTATTTCACTAACCCTTCTTATTAAGAGAAGGGCTAATAAAGTGACAGTCTTCTGTAAAAGTGTAGAAAAATCTTGATTTATAAAGCTTTACATGAAACTAACATTACAAAGTAAGAAGAGGTCAGTTCAGCCCCAAGTATATTGAGTGGCATTATTCAGTATCATCTCTATTCAATGATGGCAAATCCAGGTTAAGTTTGTGACATATAAGACATGTGTCCACACAGTTCTCCTTCATAGTTCTGAACTCATGAATATCCAGCAAAGGACTTTCTTTTGCTTCTTTTGTAAGCAGTGAGATGGATGTGTGGTTAAAGGGAATTGTCTGCAGGTAGAGAGGGCTCCACCTTAGACTGACCTGACACACAAGATTCTGGATGTAGAATTTGTTTCACAGTGGTCACATCTATTTGCCAAGGCCCCTCACATGAGGATCTGGATGAAGCAATTAGTATTGAGTAAGCCTGGTACATGGTATTGAACTTGGATCTCCAGATCAGTTCAGGTGGCTGGCACAACACAACTGTCCTGTAAAGATTCCATGCTGAAGGCAGATGTCTATCAAATAGCTGATGAGAAAAATCTGAGACTTGGGATGACAGCTACTGGAAAGCCATGTATGTCCATATCTCCAAGGTTTGCTGTCAACCTTGGTATGCGGAGAGGTAAGCTGTTCAATGGAGAGGGATATATGTCTGAATTGTGGGCAGGAGGATGGTGGCAATGCTCTTACGTATTTCATGCTGAGTTGTGCTGCTCAGCAAGAAGCTCGCAGGGAGTTCATAGTATCTGCCATCCACCTAGTGAGGGATTGTGGTTGTCAAACTAGTGATTATCCTATGGCGGAGAGGAATTGGCTCCAAGGCAATATCCTTGTCAATGAAATGTCAGAATCGAGTCAATCCTCTTTGATGATCTCAATAAACTGGTTTGTAAATGAGACAGGTCCACAGTATTCCAAGACACTGCTAATGACAAACACGATAGCCTGGCTCATCAACAGGACTCAGAGGACAAACCAGTCACTGGGAGTAGGGATTCTTCCCAGTCAGCTCCTATTAAACCTGTATGTCAAACCTAATGTATAGTCCAAAGTTCTAATGAACCCACAACCTTATGATTCAGAGGCAAGAGTGATATCAGGTTAACACCTATATAGGAATACATAGAAATACATAAAACATTACAGCACAGAAATAGGTCTTTCAGCCCAACTAGTCTGTTTATGCACCACACGAGCCTCCAACACTCCTCATCCCAAACATTATCCAATGTTGGATTTGGATGTCTATTTTCTTTATTATTTTGGTAATCACACATCATCCTAGCTTAGTTGGTAGCATTCTCTTATTGCTCAGCTCCTGTTAACCTGCAAGCTCTAACAGATAGGGTGATCCTAGCTGAACAAGCAGAGGGAAAGCTTGCCAGACAGCGATATCAATGGCAAATTATGCAGTTTTAGCTGGTTAGACTCCACCAGTACCCCAACCCACATTCTTGGGTCCCCAAGCCTCGGCACTTGACTACCTGTGCCTAATACTTTCCAGAATTAGGTAAGCAGGAAGCACCCCTCCAAGGAGGAAGTGCGCATTCCATTCCAACAATCTATCTTTGGAATTCCTATGTGTAGGTGGGATCCACCATACACAAAATCCAATTAATTCAGAACTCCGCCACCCGGATACTAACCTGCACAAAGCTCCGGACCCCCATCACACCAGTCCTTGCCAGGCTGCACTGGCTCCTAATTTCTGAACAGATCGATTTCAAGATCCTCTCTCATTTTCAAACCTCTTCATGCCCTCATATCTCCCTACCTTTCCGACTTGCTCACTCCCCCCCCACTCCAACACTTGCTGCCTCCGTCCGGCTGGCTACGGCCTCCTGTTCATCTCTCGCCCCCTCTGCTCCACCATCGGCAGCCGTGGTTTCAGTCACTATGGCCTGAAGCTCTGGAGCTCTCCCAATCCCTCCGCCTTTCCATTCTCACCCCACTTTCAAATCCCACCTGAAGACCTTTTTGATCGTGCTTACCATTCACCACCCCCCCTCCCTCTCTCCCTGGCTCGGGGTCAGCCTCCTCCACAGTTAAGTGCTCTGGGATGCTACATGGCGTGAAGGGCGCTATATAAGTGCAAGTTGTTGTTGTTGATACCCGTGAGCAAAGTAATAATAATAATAATCCTTGCATTTGATAGTATATTTTAGTGATGAAATTCAGTCTCCTTCAGGAATGTTAGAACAAGAAATAGAGAGTAAATTGATAACTGAAATTTGATGAATAGAGAATAGAGAATAAAATCATTCATAACAATAGAATTTGCATAGAACTCATAAGTTGGTTAGATCTTAAAGCTTGTTATATTATAACTATCATTATGCTTGATGCTCAAATTTCTAACCATTAATATTCTAGGGGTCAATGGCACTACCCCACCTCCTGCAGCCAAAAATAGCATTTCCCAACGTGTTGTAAAATTGGGAAGTGAAATGTTGGAAAGCTCAAAGTCAATGGAAGATACAAAAGGAAGGATACCGAATCTCTCAAAGGTATAGAGCAATTATTTTTACTACCTCAATACTAAACAAGGGTACTTTGAAAAGTCCGAGGTCATAAACTGCAATGAAGTATTGTTTAATATCATATCCTATACAACCACTTCATCTCCCAATCATAATACAGAAAGATATGGTTCTAAAATGTAGGATTTCTAACGGGATTCTTTGATAAAGAATCTGAATTGTGCAAATGCGGACTGCTTCACGTAACTAAGATTAAGTCATGTTAATCCTTGGGAACTCCATGTCAACATAATCTCCTTCTGGAGTGGAGTTCCTGTAGGTTGATGGTAAATCTAATGAGATTTCTCAATAAGGAATCACATTAGAAATTACACATTTTAGTCCTCTTCGTTAAAAGATGATTTAAAAAGATAAGTGATAAAAAGATAAATTCGGAAAAAAAATTCTCAATTTATTTATCTTAATCATCTGAAAGCCATCGAAAATGGTCCTCTTTTCATAAATGTTCAAAGTGTAGTTTTTTCCATTCTTTTCTTCCTCTATAAGTATATAGCAAAGCATATTAATACTGCATATTATTCAACTGAGTCATAATCTCTCCTACAACTCTTATAGAAAGGATGGCAGTTCTGGATGAGTGATTAAATATAATATTTTAATATAATTTTGCATTTGTCTGGAAGAGTGGAGATCGATTTTGTTATTTAGTATGTAAAAATGTAAAAGCTATGCTAATCTTGATTAATGCAAATTATGTTTCCATATTTGGATTCCTTTACCTCTCACCACCTTGTTAATTGATAGAGTGTTACACCCAACACTATTTTCACCTTGACCCGTTTTAAGTTTTTACTGATGTTCTGTGGGATTCAGACAAACAGTTCATTTAGGTTACAGTCAGTCACTAAATGCTTACTTGTCAGAAGATCAGATACATGCAAAAATAATACTTGGATGAAAATGCAATGTTTCTTAACAGATTCCATGTGACATTCAATACATTCATTATTTTCAGAAACATTCGGATTTTCACCCCTCTATTAGCATGGCATTCCTATTTACTGATGCAGATATTTCCTCCACTGCTCACCGCTTACAGATTTTGCCACTTTTTCTCATTCAATAGTTGAACCAAGTTTGGGACTTGTTCATGTAAAAGCTCAGAGTCACCAATACACATGCTGTGATACCTCATTCCTGCACCTGGGTACTTTAGCTTCATACATCACAGGATCACATCTAATCTTTCATATTAAACCACGGTCATGCTTTGTTGTGCTAATGGAGGAATAGATTCTATTATATTGAGTTATAAAATCAGAGGTTACCCGCAATCTTTATCCACATTCGCCTAAAAAATTCACAGCCACTACACTTCATAGTAAAATCCTGTGAAGCTCTTTGAGACGTTTTGACGACGTGTTAAAGAATTATATCAAATGCAAGGATTTGTATTATTATCCAATGGTCCTGAACAATCTTTACAAGCTCAAATGTAAATTAGATTTTCTTTTTTTAAAAAAAAACTCTTGCTATTGAAACATTATATAATTTGTGAAAACTGTACATTTATTTCTTATTTGTCCGGTTTGCAATTGAATCCTGTTTGCCTCACGATTTACATTTTATTCCTCAGAACTCCTTGAAGAAAATCAAAACATGTTTCAGGAAATCTTTGGATTATACCAGGTAGTAAAACTTTTTATATTTCTCTTTATAATATTTCTTTACATCCCCCCACACCCCATATAATTAGAATAAAAAATAACAGATTATTCTAGTTTTGTCCGTCCAAAAGTGACATAATTGTTGATTGTCATTACCTAAACTATTAAATGTATCTTTTTGAAAGCTATTTTCTATGGTACAGCAGTAGTGATGATGTACTTACACACAAATCTTTACATAATAAAGTAAAGCATTGAAGGATCTTCAAATGATCCAATCTGGCTTTTTTTAAAGCCTGGCAGAGGTATAGTGGGTGTCATGATTGTGGTTTCATATGTAGAGCATGTAAGTAAGTACCTTCACAGACTGTTCAGGGAATGCAGAAATGAACAGATTTGTGCCAGATAATCCAGTTAACTGAGACAAAATTGCCACCAACATTGGAAAAAGCAAAGATAGGGACCAGATCGTTGAAATTCTTCATGGCCTTCTCATCATACCACTGTCACGAAATTAATATGTATAGAATTTTGGAAAAGTCCTAATTTCAGCCTTAATTTAGAAACCAAACTAGTTTTCCACAGATCTTTAAAATGAAAAGTTGAGAGACGAACAGCTATGTAATTTGGCTGTCAGGTTATAAATGTCTTTTGCAGGTTCCAAATCACATGTTTTCCTTCCATAGATGGTTTTCCGATTGCTGTAATGATTAAACTATTATGATGGACTATTTTAGTTTTCTTTTAGTTTGGGGAAATATTGATCATTGATCTTGGAAAAAGATGATAAACAATTTACTTTGATTCCTGATTTTCCAGCTCAGCCTGAGCTATTATTCCATGTAACCTAAGAATTGTCTCTTGAATGATTGTAATTGGATTCTGTTGCAGGTTTTCCCCCCGGGCCTATTAAATGACTCGAGAGTTATTTATAAGACACATTTGATACTCAAGTGATATTTGCTTTAGAATGCCGGAAAATCACCCCCCCCCACCCCCGAATAGTCAACCAGTTTGGCTACCATGAGAATTTAGTTTTGAAAGTTACTAGACAATATGGGAGTGCGTGAGGAATTGCAACTGAGCTCGAAGCTTCTGGGTTAATAAGAAAATGTAGCACCAGAGAAATTTACAGCCCATTGTATTTTTGCTGGCTCTTTTAAGAACAATCCTTTCATTCCCATTTACCTGTTCTTTCTCCATACCCATGTAATTGACTCCTGTTTAAGTATTAAGAGGATGGAGGTGATCGGCTCATGGAGACTAGTGCGGGAGACGACATGAGCTGCAGAGTTTTGAATAATAAATGAAATGTAAGGATTATTATTAGTTTTAAATTAAAAAATAGAGAGCCTGATGTTCGACCTAAAATTTACTGAATATGATGCTTCCCTGAGGGTTCAAGGAGGTGGCAGCACCAGGACCCGGAGTGAACAAACCGCTTGTCTGCAGAGAGTCTCTCCCCATTCTCCGTTGGTGGTCTTAAAAACCGTGATCTTAAACTTAGAAGTTTAGAAATGCTGCAACTTTTGCTCGATTGATCTTAAAACCTAAGAGCATGAGGAATGTCGGACCCCAGAAAGTATGTTAAAAAGCTTCTGAGATCGCTTGTGAGATGTGTTCCTTGTCAATACTGTAGTAACATTGGTTGACTTTTTTTTTCAATTTATAGCTCGGAGCAACAGTTGAGACCCAGTCGGATCCCAGTGAGAAAAAGTCTTTCTCTTGCGTCCCCTCGTTCACTTGCATCCCATGGAAACCTGCGTCCCACCAGTTTGCCCAATAGTGACCATGTACTGAAAATGTGGAAGTGTATAAGGCCTAATCTTACAAAGCAGAAGACTGAAGAACGTGAGTGCTTATCCTAACCAATCACTTAAAGTGCCCTGATACTGACTTCAGTTTGCCAATACTGGGCATTTAAACAAGGATTGACCATGAGGCCATTTAATACATTTTGACCCCATGCTATGTAGGTTCCTAATTTAACTAACCCACTTTTCACTCTTATACTCAGATTACTCAAGCTCTTGTAAATGGGGCTTGTGAACCAAATGGACAGAATTAATGTGGTTATAATATGATATAGATCACAGATCGTAACATAGACCTTCACAACAGTGATGATAATCTAATTTGATCTTGGAAAAATATGATGAATACTGAATATATTATTTTATTTAGCAGATGTTTCACTAACTTGTTCTGCTATGACCCTGGCCCCATCAATACTTAAATGGAGGAACCAAGAATCTGTATGCAGTGGGAAAGGTGGACCAGAAACACAGCTGCATATCCCCGATAAGGTTGTATGTTTGATATGAAATTCAATATCTCCTTTTATGGGTTGATCAGTCAACAAAGGTCAATGGGTTGGAAAATTAGATGTTTCGTAACAGATTTGATATGACAATTATGTTTAAAAAGTGTCCTTCAAAAGGTTGAAAAGCAAACCAACGGCAACAAAACAACCTTTGGTGACATTTATGATCGCAACTTATTCATTGTTTTGTGAGATAATTTGTTAGCATATCGCTTCAATTTCAACTGCAAAACTGACACCTCAAATAGTGCAGCAACCTTTGTTGTTTTATTAAATGCAGACAAGTAACAAAGCCACAATACAAAAGGTCAGAGAAAAATGTGGAGCATATCTAATTTATACAAGAAGTTTCTTATTTTTCCGATTTGGCACATAGTACTAAAGTTATTACAAGTGTCCTGTTAAAGTGTGTATTTTCGATAGATATTGGTTTTAAGGAAAACCTCTGGAGTTTTTTTGTATAGCTTCTTCTCAAATAATGTTTTTTTGTAATCTTACATGTATTCCATCTCCTGGAATTTGCTCAGTTCTGTAGATTTAGGTCTCTGATGGCATAGGAAATGGATTTACTGGAAAATTTAATATTTTTACAACAATAAATGAAAGGAGACAGCAAAATGTTAAGTGTATTCCAGATTTGAAAACATGAGATTAGAAAATTGTCAGTCCATTTCAAATAACATGTATTATTGCTATAATAATTGTCCTTTTTCTCAGCAGCTCCCACTCCCGTTGCCCACTGGAACAGGCCAGATGACAACATATAGGAAGATACTGTCATTTTGCACTGACGGCTGATGCCACATTCACACAGGGGTATCATTAATAGACAATCCAGATAGAATTCCTGTCAATGTAGGAGTAGAACTCCATTTTGGAAGTAAATCGCAATGGACCGAAGTACCCATCAAGTACTCCCAGTTACGAGGAACTCCCCCCATTTGCACAACCTGGATTGCTTATAGAGCCCACTGTCTGTTTATAACGTTTTTATTGGGATGTTTTACTGTGTCTATTTGAGGGTGTGTTTGGTGCCAGTTTGCACATACCTTTTATCACTATGAGGTGTTGCTGTGCAGGCACTGGTACTCCACCTCTAGCTGAGAGCCGACACTGCTCATATCAGCGACCCGCTGCTGTGCGGGTTCTTAAAAATGATCATTTGTCGACATTGTTGGTCCAATGCTACTTCAGTAACTCAAAAAACAAGCTAGATTTTAATCCTTACAAAAATCTAAACTCCAAACCGTTTATCAATTCCATTTGAGAAATATTATCAGTAACTTTCATGGCCTTTTTCCCATTCAGAAAAACCTGGAGACAGGCTTGTTGAGATTCGGAAATGTTGGGCTAGGCTGGGGATGGGCAGCGTCTGGAACATGGGTGATCAATACATTTATTTGTATTACGCTGATTCCTCCTTGTCAGCGAGAGGTGGGGGTTGTTTCTTGAGCCCACATCTAAGAATTTGGTGTTTGATGGTGGGAGAGGGGGTGTGCACTGAAGTCTGGGAGATGGAATCATTGTTACACCTAAAGTAATGGCTGCAGATGAACATATGTCTTTCCTACCCCTTCCCCAACTACTGTAAAGTCACAGTGATTGTGACCGTTGAATTTCCTCCATTATTATTATTATTATTATTATTGTTAGGGTAAAATAAAAAATGAGTGAACACTAACAAGATGTACAGAAAAATGAACTAGTGCTGAGATTCACCTGTTTAAATATTTGCTATCTGAGCACCAGTGGTTTTACATATATTGTATTTGTATCCTTGTGTTTGCCATGTGAAATAGTTTGAATATTAGCCGTTCAACAAACTTTCTAGGAGTGTAAAAAGTTGACTATGTTTTATTAAATGAAAACTTCATTACTACAGGCTGAAAGGCAAAGTAACAAAGAGGAAATCACCTCATTGACATATTCACCAAGAGTAGTCATCATTAGCTGACAGTGCTGTGTTGAGATCATTCATACAGCCCAGCAGTCTCCTGTAATGCTCATCTGTGCCACTATCTCAGTTCCATACCCCTGCAGTTAGTTGGATCCCAATTCTCTTTCTGAACTCTCTGGATCAAACAAGTGAAAAATAGTCAGCAATGGTAACAGAATGTAAAACTGCATAACACACAGGACTATTATTCCTTCACAAAAACAGACAGTAAAAAGTTTTGTAAACCCTTCTTATTACCAAATTTCAATTTAATTGAAATGTGCAAGTAAATTGTTTATACTTTGTTCTTTGTAATGAGCAGCAAACAAAAGGTGCTTTGGAAATGAGGTGGTGTTTGGATACCAAAGATCCCAATGAGCATTGCAGTGATGTCTGGATTGTATCGTATGAATCTTGTAGCTTGGGGGGTTAACTTGGGGATCCTGGGGTGGGGGGTTGGAGATAGCTCTTTAGTTTATAGGCTCTTATTCAGGAATTAATTGCATGTCAACAAAATTGATCAAGGGATAAAAACAACAGGAGCTAAAAACTGTTACAGGTCAGTGGTTATGAATTCACATACATTCTTAAAGTTGCACCCCAAAGTACTGCATACAGTATGGAGGATTCCTCCACCAATTGGAAGCCAGACACATAGACTGCGTTTACCCTGGAACCAGAGATAGAAATTTACTGCACGGAAGAAAGCCATTTGGCATTCCGTTTGTTCTTGTAACTGTATGAAAGTATTGAACCACCAGCAGCATAAACAACAGAACCACATTGGTATGAAGACATTCCTCCCTGGAGACTATCAAATACCAGCAGTGTTTAAAAGGAAAATGGTACCCAGGCTTCGGAGCATCATCTGTACAACATCAACATTTGACCAACATTGATGTAATGATTGTTTTGTCAGGACTGTATGTATGTATTTATGTATTTATGTGTGTGTGTGTGTGTGAGAGTATTATGTCACAATGTTTTACAGAAGTGTTCAGTCAGAGCCTGCTGTGAATTTTAGTGTAAATGGGACGCTGTGGAAAGAAAACAGCATCCAGAAGATAGATGGAGACATAAACTTTTATTGATATAATCAGCCTGTCGGTTTCCCTACACCAGCAGTGTGCAGCACATTACTTTGGGGTTAGCTTTATACGTAAAAATACATGTTATATATTTGAGAGCAAACTGTGTAAATGAACTTTATGGCGTGAACTTCAATTATCTTTAAAGTGTTTATCTTCAAGTGTGTTTTAACAAACAACAATGTGAAAACTTTTACTAACTAATTTACATTGCACTTTTTAATCAGCAGAATAAACTCACACTTATTATCTTGTGCCGATTTCTTGAAAATCTATTTTGTGTGTAAAGTTAACTTCTCTCTGCGCTTTGCAAATAATGTAAGCTTTGTACGTTTTGACATTTTGTGACAGTAAAAACAATCTTATGATTAAAAAAAAATTCCAGTCATACTGAAACTTGATGTTGGTTTATTTAAAGTGAGGCATTACTGTTCATTAAGATGTGAAAGAGGTAAGATAAATTGTGATTGGATTCAAGTTAAAAAAAAAAGCAGGCATGAGGCAAATGATGCCTCAGTACTGGAAAAACGTGGGGAATGGCTAGGGCTACAGGGGGCTCACCCCACCCTAAATCCATCTACAGCTCACCTCTTTAAGACCTCACCTCTGATGACCGATAGACCTGTCAAGCCAATGGCTCACCTGTCTGAAAAGTGACCGACCCTTTAACTCAGTTTTACTCAGCCCCCCCACACCCAAGTATATTTTTACCCACCGCCTATGATCCCTTAGCATACATAGAGTATAACAACAACTTGCACTTATATAGTGCCCTCCACACAGGGTAGCGTCTCAGAGCGCTTAACGGTGGCGGAGCCTGACTCTGAGCTGACAGATGGGGGAGGGGGGGGGTTGGGGGAGAGGTGGCCGTAAACACGGTCGAAGAGGTTTTCAGATGGGACTTGAAAAGGGAGGAAGGGGGCAAGGTAGAAGGATTGAGGGAGAGTCTTCCAGAGTTTTGGGGTATAGTGGCTGAAAGCGCGATCTCTGATGATGGGGTGGAGGATGCGAGGGACGAGCAGGAGTGCGGTGCCAGTTAAGCAGAGACTCCAGGTAGTGGATTGGGGAGTGAGAGAGTGAGGAGGTCGCAGAGGTAGGAAGGTGCCAGAGAGTGAAGGGATTTGAACACGAGTGTGAGGATCTTGAAGTCGATCTGTTTGGTGATGGGGAGCCAGTGGAGCCTGGCCAGAAGTGGTGAAATGTGTGAACAGAGTTTGGTACGGGTCAATATGCAGGCGGCAGAGTTTGATGTTTTGAATAGTGGAGCTGCAAACGCATAATGAGCTGCATGTTTTGAATAGTGGAGCTGGGGAGACCGGCGAGGAGTGCATTTGACCAATGGACAGTATGTCTCCTCCAGAAATGTATGGCATGCCAACCTACAAGAACTCAGCTCCAACCTGAGATCCAACGTAAGAAGAGAGACAAGTTCTTGTAAGTCTAACATGACCAAATAAGTATGGATATGAAATACTGAGGAAAGCAAACGCATGCAATACATGTTGATAACTAATATTCCTTGCATTTATTTGATTTGTCTCTAAAGCATGATGGATTTTCACATGTGTCAGACATCTGACTGACTAATAAAAAAATGCTTGTATCATTGGATAGTCCTTTTTGAGTAGTCTTTTCAATAAAATCCATTATCAGGGCAAGAAAGGACCTTGCTTACATGTTCATCTATTTTAAATCAATAGTATCTACCACTGACAGTCTACATAGCAGATTCTGCAGTTTTAAATAGTGAACTTCTGAACAAAAACTCTTTTAATGAAAAACTAAATGATTCTATACAAAATTGTATAGAAATTTACATGATGTTAACAGGTCATTCAGCCCAACTTGTCTATGCTGGCATTTATACTCCTAATGAACTTCCACGTCTCCTGATACCCACTCATATATTCTTCTATTCCCTTCTCCATCAATTTTCCTCTTAACAACATCAAACTGCATTTATGTAGCGCTCGTCATGCCTGTGGCAGCTCGGAGTGCTTAAATATGTGGATGCTTTTATGTTTCAACCAGTTTCGAGGAGTGAGTTCCACATTCTCATCATCACAATCTGCGTAAAGAAGTTCTGCCTAAAATCTCTTTCAGATCTTCTCCTGGCGAACTCGCGTTTAAGCCACTTTCATTTTGGACCCGGCAACAAGTGGAAACGGCCGATGAACGCCCACTCTCGTCAAACCCTTTTCACAAGTTTGAACACCTCGAACGCATCCCCTCTCAGTTAGCCACTCAGTCCACGGCGGTTTGTGGGACGCCGCTGTGTGCAATCGGCCGCCGCGTCGCGCCCGCAAGATATACGGTCAATTCACTTCACGGCATATTCTGTAAAGCGCTTCGAGACGTCTCGGAGACGTGATCAGGCGCTATCCTCGGGCAAGTTTCCTTACTCCACACAGAGCCTGATAATAATCCCTCCAAAAAAAAACAAAAACAATAATAAAATTGGTCATTTTCAATCCACGACTGTTTGTGGGACATCGCTGTGCGCAATTGGCTGCCGCGTTCGCCCACAAATATACAGTCAATTCACTTTACAGTGTGTTCTGTGAAGCGCTTTGGGACGTCCTCCCGACGTGAAAAGCGCTATATCAAATGCAAGGATTATTATTATTATTATTATATCGAACGCGAGGATTATTATTACTTTAACATTGTGACCAGAGCTGCGCACCGGGTTATAAATCTGGTCCAGACCAGAGCCCGATACCAGTTTAACATTATTCTCCACAGCTGCACACGGTGCTACAATTGCGCTGTGGGGCAGTGGCGGGTGGGGGGGGGGCGCTGTGGCTGGGGTGGGAGTGACCGACCGCCGGGGGCGCTGTAGCTGGAGTGTGCCTGACCTCAGGGGGGGGCGCTGTAGCTGGAGTGTGCCTGACCGCAGGGGGGGGGGGGGGGCGCTGTAGCTGGAGTGTGCCTGACCTCAGGGGGGGCGCTGTAGCTGGAGTGTGCCTGACCTCAGGGGGGGGGGCGCTGTAGCTGGAGTGTGCCTGACCTCAGGGGGGGGGGCGCTGTAGCTGGAGTGTGCCTGACCTCAGGGGGGGGGCGCTGTAGCTGGAGTGTGCCTGACCTCAGGGGGGGGGGGGGGCGCTGTACTGGAGTGTGCCTGACCTCAGGGGGGGGCGCTGTAGCTGGAGTGTGCCTGACCTCAGGGGGGGGGGGGGGGCGCTGTAGCTGGAGTGTGCCTGACCTCAGGGGGGGGGCGCTGTAGCTGGAGTGTGCCTGACCTCAGGGGGGGGCCTGTAGCTGGAGTGTGCCTGACCTCAGGGGGGGGGCGCTGTAGCTGGAGTGTGCCTGACCTCAGGGGGGGGGCGCTGTAGCTGGAGTGTGCCTGGCCGCTGGGCGGGGTGGTGAAGGGCCGCTCTTTCTCCCTACCGCCCTCCTCGGCTGCTCGTCGCCCTGGAGCCGCAGATCGCGGTGCCGCCGCCCGGACCCGCTCACAGTCACTGTGCCGCCGCCCGGTCGGGCCTATCCCGCACCCAACCATGTTCTCCTATGAGTATGTGACCCCGGAGCAGCTCGCCGGCTTCGACAAGTACAAGGTAGCGCGCTCTTAAAGGCGAGGGGGCGCGGGCGGATTTCTGTCGGGTCAGACCTCCCCCCGTACCCCTCCCCCCTCTCCTGTACCCCTCCCCCCACCCATGTACCCCTCCCCCCACCCATGTACCCCTCCCCCTTCTCCTGTACCCCTCCTCCCTCTCCTGCACCCCTCCTCCCTCTCCTGTACCCCTCCTCCCTCTCCTGTGACCCCTCCTCCCTCTCCTGTACCCCTCCCCCTCTCCTGTACCCCTCCTCCCTCTCCTGTACCCCTCCCCCCTCCTCCTGTACCCCTCCCCCCTCTCCTGTACTCCTCCCCCCTCTCCTGTACCCCTCCCCCCTCTCTTGTACCCCTCCCCCCTCTCCTGTACCCCTCCCCCCTCTCCTGTACCCCTCCCCCCTCTCCTGTACCCCTCCCCCTCTCTTGTACCCCTTCCCCCCTCTCCTGTACTCCTTCCCCCTCTCCCCCCTCTCCCCCTCTCCCCCTCTCCTGTACCCCTTCCCCCTCTCCCCCCGCGCCCCCACAGCCCTCTCCCTCTCCATCCCTGTCACCGCGGGATCATGTCGGTGGCCCCGCCAGTAGCTGCTGTTTGCTGCCCGTGTGGGCAGTTACTCAACCAATGTGAGAGAGAGAGAGAGAGAGACAGTAACTCTCAGAGAGAGGGGGGGAGTGTGGGGTTGGGGGGCAGGAGTGAGGGGGTGAGTGGGGGGAGCGAGCGAGGGGGTAGGAGGAGCGAGGGGTTGGGGCGGAGGAGAGGGAGAGTGGGGGGAGGTCGAAAAGAGAGAGAGAGGGAGTGAGAACTAAATTACATTTATTCACAATCTGAGCAGATACATTGCAATGTATTTTTTACTGCACTGCGTTGATATGCATCTCCTTTGCATCCCTGTAGACATTTGTCTCACAGGCATTTAACATTGTCTGCAGGATCCGCTTGGACCAGGTTTCTGTGTCCAATTGTATCTGACTTCACGGGTTTTAAAATTAGTGCTTGAAATGATTAGTTCTTATAAACACTTCCTAAAGTCATTATTCTGGTATGTTATTTCTCCCAAGAATATGTTGTTGGCATTTCAAATTATGATCTTGCAGTTCGTACACCAATTTTACTTTGTACTTTAGCCTAAACTGTTAGTCCTATCTGTACTGGGATCACCTTTAGGTCAGATCAAGAATGATTTGATAGTCCATGTTGCCACCATGTATGTGTGGGATGTCTCTGTTATTTGATCAGCAAGCAATCATTGTCTTAAAATGATATGCAGCTTTTTAGATGAGAAAAGCAGACCAGGCATGGTTGGACATTCCAAGCCATTGGACCGTCCAGGATTTGCAACCATGCTGGGAGCGCCGGGGGAAGAAGGGTGAGAGGGAGGGGTGACTAAGGTGTGGTCAAAGAGGAATATCTTGAGGCGGACCTTAAAGAAGGCGAGGAAAGGGCTGAGGAACAGGGACTGGAATGGAGTTCCAGAGATCAGGGATAGAAAGGCTGAAAGACTGATGGCTGATGGTAGGGTGGGGGACGTGAGGTAGGCCGGTGCCTGCTGAGCGGAGGGAGTGGCCGGATTTGTATGATTTGAAAAGTTTGCAGAGGTAGCGTGGGGCAAGACCATGGAGGGATTTAAAAATTAGGACGGGCATCTTGAATTTGATGCGCTGGGGGATGGGGAGCCGGACGAGGATGAGGTGATTGGCTTGTGAAGCCTAGTGCGGACAGGAAATGAGCTGCAGTGTTCTGGATCATCTGCAGCTTATGAAGGGAAGAGGTGGCAAGTCCGGTGAGCAGAGAATAGGCAGCATGAAGCCTGGATGTGATGAACAAATAGTGGATTAGGGCTTCGGCGGCCTGTGAGGAGACATAGGGGCAAGAAGTAGCGGAAAGCTGTGAGAAACTGAGCATGTTTGATAGTAGATGTTGGATAATGGAATCTAACCAGACTTGATGCCTCCGGGTAGTAATTTTACCAGTGGGTGACTGTCACTGAACATTTTTTTTTACCAAATACAGTGGTATTTAGTGTGATAGCTTCAGCCCATTGTATTTGTACTCAATGCAGCCTGTTTTAAATTTTGGTTATGAGAAGTTTGTTTCTAAGTACTTAGGTGTTAAGAGCATGAAATGTAACAGATTCAGAGGGAAGTGTTAAGAGCTGTGCTGGCTGATCACTTCCGAGAAGCAGCATATTATTGCCTCTGGTTTCGCCCACAATTTAGAAGTGTTAAGACAGCTAATTTGGACATTGGGCAACTTGTACAGAAGAGGACAATTGCATAGTTTGAAAATGTGTATTAAATTAACCATATATCATTTTTTAGTTAGCTGTCTATTTTTGACAATTATTATCTTAACTCGCTTCCTCCCTCACATAGCTGCAACAGATGAGCTTGATTATGGGATCAATTAGACTACTTGCTGTTGGTGCTGATCCTGTTTTGAAATATGTAACTTGATCTTAACTGTGATGCCTCCTTTGGTTGAATAACCCTCAGGCACTCCCTCATTTGGTTTACACTTGAAGAATAGGCATTTGAGTGACATACTGGAGGGTGGCCAACAGCAATGAATTGACATCTTTAGGGGCTGGAGAGAGGAAAGAAGATCATAATAATCCTTGCATTTGGTATGGTGCCTTTCACATCAGGTCGACCTCCCAAAGTGCTCTGTTATCTGCTTGGATAACGTTAAACTGAAGCTCTGTCACTATGGTGCCTAGAGATTTTGTTGCAATCCTTTCTATTTGCCTTCACATGGGGAACCTTGTTATGCTGGAGGTTTTTGCTGTGTGCAAAGTCTCGAAGGGAAAATTTAACAATTCTGCAAAAGCATATTAAAATTCTGAATATATGAAAAGTATTCTGATGAATTCTGATGAAAAGTTGTAGCTAAGTTAGGTGAGGATCCCAGTAGATGAGACATCCTATTCTGATGTAGATTTTGAATAGGGAATTTCCAAAAGTTTCTTATTGATATCAAAATATGTTTTCAAATCTACATTCTTTGCTGTCAGCGATATTTCAATTCGTTCTTTGGGCCTTTCCAAGAATTTTTCATTTCAGCCACTCCTCTTTCTTCCCCTCTCTAGATTTGTTAGGAGAACCAATGAGGTAGCAAGTCCATGCACTTAACTCTTGTTAATTTGCATGTGTGCATCTGCAAAAGCAGCATTGAAAGCAGCATCTGGCTTTAGAGGATTTATTTCACCATTTCCATCCCGTGTATCTATGTTGGACAGGGTACCAGCTGAATTGTGCAATACTATTGGCAGGAATTTATTTGATGTATTTGATTTTCTTGTTTACTTTTCTCATCCTTCATGTAAGGATGGGCAGAAGCAGGGTTATCTTATCAGCAAAGAATTTGGACCATTTATTCTTTGTAGTTACTATCCAGAGCAGAGTGAGTTTTGTGCAGAGAGGTCTGTAGTAGGTTGTCTGCAATGGGACATGAGGTCACACGAGCCCCGCTAAAGGAATACGTTTTGAGGTCCAGCAGAATCCCTATTATATGGATTCGTTATTGTGCAACCTTTGTAAAATGTTAGAGATTTCATTTAAGTGCTTTTGAAATTCAGTTTTTTTTATTTCACAATTCGATTCTGCAAAGTTGCTTGTGAATAGTCCATCCTAAGATTCTGATAAGTTGCAGGGGCTTAACAGCTGCTCTTGCTTCCGTTGTCAGTGCCCGCAGGAGAAGGGATGGGCAGAAAATTGGCAAAAAACAGTCGAAGTAAGAGCAAGCTGCTATAAGTGATAGGGTGTTTAAGTCACATGTTCATGGTAATTGTATTTAATCAGCTTTCAAGCAAACAACAATATGACATTTCCTAAGTTTCATGGGTGTATTCTATCAGTGTATTCACAACTGTTAATGATTTGAGTATTTTAAATAGGTAACGAGTTATTTACAAACCAGAAGATGCTGGACTGATTGGAACCAACTTTAAATCGGAAGTGAAATTGCTTGATTCAGTAACAGGTTTGTGAAATAAATCACCGCCCTGAACACCAGCAAAGATTGTTGACATCCAGCATTTTTCTTTCTGACCTTTTGTGGGCAGAGAAAGAGCTCATTAAAGTCCAACAAAACGTCTGAATGCTTAAAAAAAAGGGGGTAAACATAAACTTTGCTGGCAATTGGTAATGCTGTCTGTTTCTGAATTTTATTACATACATAAGAATACATACAACAGAATATACAGCACAGAAACGGGCCATTTAGCCCAATTGGTCGATGCCAATGTTTATTATGCTCCACATGAGCCTCCTCCTGCCCTTCGTCAACTAAGCCTTCAAGCATAACTATCTATTCCTTTCTCCTTCATGTACCTATCGAGCTTTCCCTCAAATACATCTATGCTATTTGCCTCAACAACTCCTTGTGGTAGTATGTTCCACATTCCCACTACTCTCTGTGTGAAGACATTTCTTCTAACTTCCCTATTTGATCTATTGGTGACTATTTTATATTGATGGGCCCTGGTTTTGGTCTCTCCCACAAGTGGAAACATCTTCCCTGTGTCTACCCTATCAAAACCTTCCATCATTTTAAAGACCTCTATCAGGTCACCCCTGACCCTCCTCTTTTCAAGAGAAAAGAGTCAAAGAGTCATGTTCAGACTTTCCCGATAGGTATAACCTCTCAGTTCTGGGATCATCCTTGTGAACTTCCTTTGCACCCTCTCCAGTGCCTCTACATCCCTTCTATAATGTGGGGACCAGAACTGCACACAGTATTCTAAGTGAGGTCTAACCCAGGTTCTATAGAAGTTTACCATAACGTCCTGCTTTTCATTTCTATCCCTCTAGAAATGAACCCCAGTGCCTGGTTTGCTTTTTATGGCCTTATTAGCCTGCATTGCTACTTTTAGTGAATTGTGTATGTGTACCCCTATGTCCTTTTGCTCCTCTACCCCATTTAGGTTTTTATTTTCCAGGATGTATGTGACTTTCTTATTCCTTCTACCAAAATGTACCACCTCACACTTTTCTACATTGAAATACATT